GAGAATTTATGTAAATGCCTGGTGGGCATGGGGGCCCATCTGTAATTCCAGCCTTAGACATAGGAGACAGAAGGTCCCAGAGTAAGTTGACATGTCCAACTAGCCACAGCAGCAAGCCGTGGGCTTGAGTGAGACTCTGCCTTGGTGAATAAGGTGGAGTGAGTGAAGAAGAGTTGAGACACTTCAGGCCTTCATGCATCCATACACACATTATCCATATACAGGAAAAGAAGGAAGGAGAGAAAAAAATCAGGACCAGCAAGTGTAGAGAGAGTGGGCCTTCCCTGCTTGTTGATGGGTAAGTGATACAATGATACTGTAGACCAAAAGCTAGCCAGCTCTTTTAAGTAAACAGAATTATTATATAGCTCAGCAGTTTAAGCCCAGGTATATCCACAGGCGACCAGGGGATTCTTGTTTACTCAAAGGCCGGTATCACCCAAAATCAAGAAAGGACGAAAAAGGCCACTATCCACACAAATGCGCATCAGTGCACAGAAGCACAGCTGGGACAGTCCTTCACGCCACAGGATGTTACTCAACAACAAAAATGACTACCATTTATGCCACCACATGGCCGAGTCAAAGTCTACTCTGAGTGAAAGAGGCTATTTACAAAAGATACATTATTCCCAACATATGTGACCTTCCCAGAAAAGATAGGAAGCCGAGACACCCGCAAACATATCAGGTACACCTGGGAGTGCAGATGGGGCTGGCATCTCGCAGGAGGGCTCTGTTTAGGGGACGGAATGTTCCACCAACTTAGCCGCAGTCATGGGTGTCCAAATCACCAAGTTGACTTTAAAAAAAAAATCATTGACTTGTACAGCTACAGTGCCCAAAATATATGTTAAGCAAATCTCTCCTCCAAGAAGTGATTTCAAAAAAAAAAAAAATTAAAAAGAGGAAGTGGGTTAGAGAAGGTTTATCCTGTTTTTCTTCTCAGAAGACCCCTGGGCAGAAGAGCAGAGTGACCACTTTCTCTCCTTGGCCAGCTCTGCTATTTGGAGTGCTGGGAAGGTGTGTGAGAGCCTCAGAGATCTCTCCAGGGCTAACAGCTACCTTTGATGACTTTTAACAGAGCAAGAGGGACCCTCCCCTGAATACAGTTCTACTTCAGAGGTCAATGCTCATTCACCCAGCTGGACACGACCAGCTCGAGACCATCCACTTAAGTACCAGTGGACTAAGCAGCCTTGGCTGTATCCCCCACCCACCCACGTCATGTCTGCAGCTCTGCTCCCCTGCCCTGAGTCAGTATCTTAGTGTGTAGCCAGACTGGTCTTGAACCTGCTGTCCTCCTGCGTTAGCGTCCTGAGCACTGAGATCGCTACACTGGACCACTCCTTCACATATGTAAACCCAATTGAGCCGCTTCTCTGCAAGCTTGACAGGAATTCTCATTTCCATAGGAACCAAATCTGCCTTCTTCCCAGCTGCACCGGCAAGGAGCCCAGAGGTGAGTGTCCTATGTGGCTCTGACCCTCCGCTCTGTATTCTTTCCCATCCTCTGTACTTGTACACCCTGCCTTATATGATGCCCTCAGGATGTCGGTCAGTCTGTCTGTCTGCTGTCTGCTCTACTAGAAACGGGCTCCACAAGGGCTGTTATTGGTACATCTTTCTGTGGAATTTCCTCAGGACATACCCAAGGGCCCAGATGATAAGGAAGGAGGGAGGGAAGGTGTGGGCTGGCTGAGTTGACAGAGGAGGGAATGAGTGGGCGGGTGGTGGAGAGTGGGTGGAGCTGACTGCCTCCTGCCCACCCACGCTCAGAAGTAGTTCAGTGAGTTGGATGGAGGGTGGGTGTACAGTTCAAACCTTTGCACTCTGCTCCCTGGGTTGTGACCTTGGGCAAGTTCCTTGACTTCCGAGGAAAGTGAAAATTCAGAAGGCAAGGCCACTTTCAGGGTTCAACCCTCCACATGGGGGTGGGGAGCGCGTCCCTGACAATGCACAGCTGCGTAGTTCAGCTCGCTGATAGCAGGGACTCTGCAGATAGTAACTCCTCTGCTATCCTGCCTGTGAGTTTGCTCAAACTCCGGGCTAAGACCTCGGAAGAGTCACTGTGAAGATCAAGAAAGGAGAAAAAGAAAGAAAATCAGAGAAAGGAAAAAGAAAGGCTAGCTTCCCCCCAGAAACTCTCTTTCCAGGCATGAGGTTCTGGTCTCAGGGAAGCCTAGAGCTGATACTAACCATGAGGGACCCTGTAGGAAAATCCTCGAACACAGTTGTGGAAAGGAAAGCTCAAGATAGACACAAAAAGTGGAATGCTCTTTCTTAACCTGTCAGTCATGCGGGTTGCTGCCCGGCCTTTCACAGACACTGGCCAGTGTGAAGGTAGTGGTGTGTGTATCTGAACCAATCAGGGTCATGGAGGCAGCTCAAAGTAGTCCCCACCCCTCCTTGCAAACCCCTATCTGGATGCACTCCTTTTAGGCTCCAATGAACTAGGTTCAAATACTGGCTCCAATGCCTCATAGGCTGGGGGGGGGGGTGTGCTGGTTTCCTCTCCTGTGCTGTGGAATATTAGTTAAAGGTGTGATACATTCCTTTATGCTGTGGCTCATTTGTTTAATGATGCAAAGATGTATTGCATTTATTTAACTCTGTGAAGCTGTGTTACTTTGCCTGTCTAAAACACCTAATTGGTTTAATAAAGAGCTGACCGACCAATAGCTAGGCAGAAGAGAGGATAGGCGGGGCTGGCAGAAGAGAGAATAACAAGGAGAAGGCGAGAGAAGGAGGAAAGAGGACAGCAGGGGTTAGCCACCCAGCAACACGGCCAGCCACCCAGCAACATGGCCAGCCACCCAGCAACACAGCCAGCCACCCAGCAACATGGCCAGCCACCCAGCAACACGGCCAGCCACCCAGCAACACGGCCAGCCACCCAGCAACACGGCCAGCCACGGAGTAAGAAATAAAGAAAGGTATATAGAATAGAGAACAATAAAAGCCCAGAGGCAAAACATAGACAGGATAATCTAAGAAAAGCTGACAAGAAATACACCAAGCTAAGGCTGGGCATTCATAAGTAGGAATTTGTGTGATTATTTGGGAGCAGGTTCTCCCAAAAGTAAACAAACAAACAAGCAAACAAATAAAAAGCCATTTCCAAGCCACAATCTCTTCATCTGTGAAATGGGAGCAGGCCTGTTGACCAAGGTCTGGGAGGAGCTGGTGGCTGTTTGGCTCTCCCTCTGTGGGGCTGCTGGGTCGGAGCTGCCTGACTTCTGAATTCCCAAATGTTTACTCATTGCCCCGCTTCTCCTGGACTTCCCGTTTGCTTGGAGACAAGAAAACAGTCTGAGGGATTTCTTTTCTATTCCACCCGTCAGAGAAGTCTGCTAGCCACATGCCAGCTTCATTGTACCTCAAGGAATGGTGAAATCAGAGTCACCACGCTTTAGCGGTTGCCAGGAGCTCACCTGTGTTTCTCTCAGGGCAGAGGACCCTGAGGCCCACAAACGGAAGGTCTCTCCTCTGGGTCCCCAGCTGGAAGATGCATAGCCCCTGCTGGAGACTTGGGGGGCTCAGGAGAGGAAAGGAACTGAAGACTGTGCCGTCTCCAGACGCACAAAGTGAGGAATCTGATGATTGACGGAAGTCCCAGGCCTGGCCCTCTCATCCTGGGCATGGATGAGTGCTTTGTCATGCATGTCATGCTTAAACTGTTTTGAAACATAAACAAATCTTGTTTCTCACGTGTGTGTATCTTGAGGGGATCGATGCTGCCGATGGGTGAGAACTTAGGAGCTGCCTCGAGAGTGACCGTAGGCAGGGCACTGGGTTCAGGTCAGCATCCCTTTCATTGGTGGAGTGTTGGACAAGTCCCTTCAAAGGCTGACTAAGCACTGGCCTGCTGGGTACAAGGGTGGGCACTGAGTGAGGACCAAAGTATCAGTCTGCCCAGGACAAATATCGTATAAACCAACTGTGAGTTCTGAAGAGGTGAGAGGATTTGGAGGGCAAGTCTCAGGGGATCCTAAAAGCTGCTATAAAGTTAGGGGAGACACCCTTGGACTGGAAAGGGAAGAGGCTGAGGCAGGAGGTTGTCTATGGTTTCACAGGAATGGTACCTCAGCAGGGTCTGAAAAACGTATGGAAATCCCACTACCTTGAATCGACTTGAACTTTCGATAATAAAGTCCTTTTTTCCTGAAAAAAAAAAAGAAAGAAAATTAAAGCCAGGTGGTGGTGGCACACGCCTTTAATCCCAGCACTCGGGAGGCAGAGGCAGGTGGATCTCTGAGTTCAAGGCCAGCCTGGTCTACAAGAGCTAGTTCCAGGACAGGCTCCAAAGTTACAGAGAAATCCTGTATCAAAAAATAAAAAAAGAAAAGAAAAAGAAAGAAAATTAAAACAATTGTTTTCTATTTCTTTCTTGAATTCCCAGCTCTGTGTGGCTGCTCTGTCCTCCTGGCTGGGTATCCACACTTGACAAGTGGGCACAACAAGACTCTCAGGTCTCTCTCCTTCAGGGCAGCAGGGAGAGTCCTTCTTCCTACAGTGCTGAGGCAGGGGAGTAGTGCTTAATATAGAAAGTCTGGTCATGCTGAGGGGGCAGGCAAGGGACAGGAAAAAAATGGACCATTTATCCACCTGCAGGAGAAAGGTCACGAGTGGGTGTCCACCTTCTGTCTCTCCTGTCTGAGCTGAGGGGTTCAACGTGGATACTGAGGACCTTCTCACACCTGCGGTCAGTTTCTACATCCGTGAGAAGTGGGGAGTCCTACTTCACTGCCTGTCTCATGGGACAAGACTGTGAGGTCTGTGGGATGACGTCATCTGCCTGCCAGATGTCACCCCGTAGGCCCCAAATGTCTTGCTGAAGGGTAACCTTTGGGAAGCCGTGGGCGCCTGTTTGAAGGCGTCTTAGTTTTCTCGCCCCTTCTAGAGGACCTGGCTGGGCTGGGCGGGCACTGCTTACCACATCCTCCTGATCCCCACCCCTTGCCTGGCCTCAGACAGACACCACAGCCTCTGCTGGCGGCTCTGTGCATCAGGCGAGTGCACTTCTCCTGTGTGTGCCTGACAGCTGCTTGCCTGTCTGACTTCAGGTCTGTCCATCCCTGGGGCGGCCAACTGGCCCCAGCCCCTTCTGTGCCCTGTCTCTGGCTGCCCCAGCTCCGCTGACTCCCTCTATGTAAGCCCTGTCTAAATGCCCAGCTAGCCCTCAGCCCCAGGACTATCTCAGTGGTGACTCCTTTAGATTCTGGACTTGCACCGGACTGGACCCCTGCCCACCTTCTTAAACCCACACCAACCACCATCACTCTGAGTCCCTCTGTGACTCCCACCCCCAGGAGGCCACCTGGTTGCCCCAGTCTGAGGAATGGCTTTCTGAGGAGGACCTTGAAGAAGCAGGTAAGTAGATGGTAGCCCTGTTTCTCCCTGAGCCGATGGTCCTCAGGCTTTTGCGTCGCACCGTGGTGGGACTCTGAGCTGTCCTGTGCCTGTGTCACCGCTGGGACACAGAGGCAGAGAAGGTTATATGCAATTTAGACTTGGTAGAGTCAAGGCTGGGGTCCCTTGTTCAGCCGGCTTAGAATATCAGCGGGCTTTAGTGTGTGCTTGCGGGTTGTTGGAGGGTTGTGGAAGCAGGGGCATGGCTAACATGATCTCTTGCCTGAGCAGACGGCCTGCAAGAAGTGGGGGGGGAGAAGAAAGTGAGATCTGGATGGTAGCTAGTCTGCTGGACAATGGGTCCTAGGCAGGAGCATGGGGAAGCTTCCATGGGGCTGTTTTGTGGGGAGGGCATCAGAGATGACCAGCCACTGTGGTTTATTACTTAAACTCCATCTAACCCTTCCAGGCGGGTGGGCTGCCTACTTCACAGATAAGGAGACCTGGCTCCACAGGGGAAGTATGACTTTCCTTATGGGACTCGCCAGGATATGGCAAGGTGGGCAGTCCAACCAGGTGTTGCCATCCAAATCCAGAGCATGGGTCACATGGTAAGAGACAACACCTCTTACATGGGGAGGAGAGAGGAGTCTCGAGGTTGTTGGAGACCTAGCCTGGAAGGATGGGGAAGGAGAAGGCAGAAGGGTTGAGTGGAGAAGCCATGGGAGCTAATGCCCGTACTTAGGACTTGCCAAAGGGACCGCAGCAGGTCACAGAGGCATGAGAGTGTCACAGGCAGCTCCTCCGAGAATACCGATGCTCTCGGAGGCAGCCTGGATGTGAGAGCACATGTCAGCCTTTCTAAGTCTCGCTGGAGAACCTGGGCAAGTCTCGCTGCTTCTTCCAGCCTTCTGGGTCCTTGTTTGATGCATCTGTGAAATGGGGAGCAAAGTGGCTCTATCCCTGTGAGGCTCTTTAAGAGAACTCCGGGATGTCAGTGTCGAGATGATGGTTTTAGGTGCTCCCACTCCCAGGCACCTTGACCTGTGGAGGAAGAGAACTAGATGCTAGGAGCTACAGAGAGCAGGGAAGGCTAGAACAGCCTTCTCTACAGAGTTGTAGGCACTTAGGGACCACCCAGAATCCTCAGAGTCCAAGAGAGGCCAGTGGTCCCACAAAGTCCAGTGCATAAGATGGCAATGCTGGGCTCCTTGGGGACACACCTGTCCTTGGGTTAAGAGTGATGGGGAGAGTCCGATCAGAAATTGGAACCCGGCCTGTATGGTGGATGACACCCCATGAGAAGACTCACGGCCCAGAACACCACCTCAGGTAGTTCCTCAGAGGGCACCTGGCTGTGTGATGCCCACAGTGGGGTGCTTACTCTCTGCAATAGCCCTGCCCTAGAGCTGCGGTCTGGGCCTCACTGGGCCTCACAGAGAGAATGATAGAACCTCTGCCTGCTGGGCAGGGGAGATTGGTCCCTCGCCCGAGGCTTCCAACGTGCCCGTCTCTAGAGGCCACTTCAGGCTTCTTTAGCCTGAGAGAGGGAGGTGAGAGTTGGTGCCATAAGGGGCGTCTGGCACTGGAAGGTAGGTGGCTGTCAGTAAGGAGAACAGCATGGCAGAATGGATGAGAGGCAGCCAGGCTGCGTGCTCGGGGGAGGGCTTTCCTTTCTGTCCCACGGCCAAGCAGCACCAGACAGCCATAGGAGGGGCGTGCTTTCTCCCAAAGCTGGGCTCTGCATGGCAGGGAAGAGGGCAGCCATAGCCAGTCAGTGCCCTCGACAGGGGAAGGCCTGCAGGACTCACAGCAGGCCAGCCGGAGAGAGTATCTGGTTTTCTTTAATTACTAGGTGTCCGCCTTGTTGCCGCTAACAAAAAGGGAAGGTTCTTTCTCCATGCCACCCAGTCTGGTTCAAATCTGTGATTCTCCCGTCTCAGCCTCCTGAGGGCTGGCATTACAGGTGTGTGCCACCCACCGTACCACATGGCTGGGGTGGTGCTTCAGCACCTGCTAGTGAGAAAACTGAGTTAAGGTGGTTTTTAAGGCCACCCAGGGAGCCACTTGGAGGGGCTTTGTCCCATGGAGGTGGGACAAAGTCTTCCCCAAGGAAGGGGTTCTCACCTGGCCGCCTTTCCTTCAAATGCTGGTCCAGGGCCCCAGAAACACGAAGTGGGGGGAGCTGGGAGAGGCCCCACCCACAGCCCGCAGCTTGCAGGTGTCGCCCCCCCTCCCCCACCACTCTGGCCCGGGACGAAGGGACTTTTCATGACGACTCAAACAGAAGCGCTGAGTAAACTTGGAACTTCTGAAACACCCTGAGAACATTCCCTGGCCAGGGCCCCTGAAGGACATCTGTACCAGGGCCTCAGCCTGCTGCTGTCCCTGCGGTCCCCAGGGAGGGTCAAAACACAGAACTGTCCCAGGAGGAGGGGCTAATATACGGCCTGGCTCCCTCTCATGCCTCAACCTTCTTCACTGTGTGGCCACGGATACGACTCTGGGCCTCTCTGGGCCTTTGCTCCTTGATCCACTAAGTAAGTTTGGTGTGAGGAACTGAAGCCTCCCAGTTCTGTCCTGTGCGGATTAAAGGCTCAGGCCTCCATCAAGCCAGGGTGGGCTGTGGAGAATGGAGGACCTGGTGCTGTCTCGGCCCAGTTCTCTGCTGGAGTCAAGCAATCATGCTTCAGACCAGTCCCTGTCTGTGAGCCACAGGGAGAGACTGTACCCCTGAGCAAGGCTGCAAGAATAGTCGATTTTGTTGAGGTTGTCCAGGTTGGAGGAGGTTCTGGTGCATAGAGCCACACAGCCACCGGGAGGGGGTCAGGCCCTTGCTCATGGCCAGCCGCCACCCACCAAGCCATGAGCCTGATGTCCTCAGCTGTAACACAACCCACCATGCTGGGGAAAACAGGCACCGGTAAACTCAGATACCTACTTCCTTGCTTCTTGCTTGAAGCACAACCGCTGAGCCTGGTCTACAGATGTACAGAGCTGAGCTCAGACAAAGCCAAAAAGGTGGCTGAAGACCCAAGGGGGTCAGAGTTGTCTTCTGGTCCAGGCCTGCTCGTCTCATTCATCCACCTGGAAACTCTGCTGAACTGAGCCTGCGGTGTGCCATCTCTGAATATCCTCGGTCGTGTCTAATCTGAGGACAGTCTTCTCTATCCGACTCTAGGAGCTGGGGCTGTGCGTGTGATGGGGGTGGGGGTGGGGTACCTCCTGGGGATAATGACAAAGCTGATGGGAAAACCGGGTCTCCGGGGACTGCTCAGTGGCTGTTCCATCGCGTGGCCCCCATTCATCCGTACACTCGTTATCAATGCGTTCTGCACCCCATTCTACCAACGGGGGATGTTGTGGTGAAGAAAGCTGGTGATTTGTCAACCTCTGGGACCTGATGTGTCCAGACAATGATGGGTCTTAAAGACAAGACAGAGGCAGTCACTGTCCTGATATTACGACAGCTATGAAGAGGACCAGAGTGGACCCACTTCCAAGGAAGCAGGCAGTCTCTTTAGGGGTGACCCTGAAGTTGAAATCTGTGGATGTGGCTGCAGAGAACCTGGGGGGAGAGAGTGTTAGCGGAGCAATCGCATGTGCAAAGGTCCTAAGATAGGGGATATTGGAGCACGGATGTACTTATCCTACAGACATGCCGAGGTTTTCAGTGTCTCAGCTCGCTCAAGAAACAAGAACCCAACCGAGTCAACTAACACTGGAGTGCACAGGCTGCACGGTTCTTCACCAAAGAAAGGGACCCCTGTCATTTAGCCATCCATGCAACCTGTGTGTGTACCTGCCATGTGTGAGGCAGGGCTTAGCCACAGGGGGTTCGGCAGGAACGAAGCCCATGTGGTTTCTGCTGGGTTGTTGCTTAGAAGGTGAATGGAAACGGTGTGTGTGTGGGGGGGGGGGGTGACAGAACCCAGAGGAAGAGGTGACTCACTCTCTTTGGAGAGATCAAAGAAGACAGCCATGACATTTGAACTTAGCTTTGAAGACCCAGTAGGAGGCTGACAGTCAGGGAGCACAGAAAGTTCCAATGACTGAAAGTTCCAGGTGTGAGAAGGGTGAAAGCCAGGCGAAGGCAACTTATGAGTGAGATCCTGGCAGTCTGGTGTGCTTGGAGCCCAGAGCAAGCCATGAAGGGGTGGTGCGTGCGTGTGTGTGTGTGTGTGTGTGTGTGTGTGTGTGTACATGCTAGGCTTTTCTCTGCAGGTCTAGGTGAGATTATGGAATGATGCGGAGAAAGGATGGGTTGGAGGACATAGCCAGAGACCAGGGCCAGAGAAGAGCAGCAGACAAGTCCGTGCCTGGAGGAGCCAGAAGCCCTCCCTCTGGTTCCCCCTTGGGAAGTCCCTAAACAGACACACTTCTCCTTCTGGTGACCTGCTGGCTCTTGTGCATGGCTCTTCTGGGGAGTCCCTCTGCGCCTGCCCCATGGCTCCTCTGTCAGGGTAGGGATGGGACATTTTACTTTCAGAATATTTTCACCTTTCACTTTCAGCCCTGTTGCTCACACCTCATTTATCATGAGCTGAACACAGCCTGAAATTGGTCCAGCAGATTCCGTTCCTTTATCATTAGTGGGAACAGGGCAGGGGAACCAAGAACTCAGGGTCTTCCAGTTCAGGGGAGGTGGGATGCATGCCATGGATGCACAGGTCTGGTTAGGTCACATGGGGCTTTGCTTCCTGGCACAGAACCTCGGAGTGGAGGCGCTGGGACCCACGTGGCAAGGGCACGCTTTCCAAGGCAGTCCCGTCAGTTCAAACCTCCACTCAGTGTAGACTCTGAGGATGCAGAGAAACCATGACAAGGACTGACTGCGGGCTCTTCCCCTGGCGCTCAGAATTTTGTTTTATGTATCAGGTAAATTGAGCAGTGCAGGCACGCGTGGAGGCCAGGGGTCATTGCTGAGTTCCCTGCTCCATCGCTGTCTGCCTTGTTGGTTGAGATGGAGTCTCTCACCGAACCTGACGCTCACTGTTTCGACTAGGCTGGCCATCAGCGAG